GGGAACTCAACCCTGGAAAGTATGTCTGAAGGGGTTCCAATGTTATGCAGGCCATGCTCTAGCGATCAGAAGGTGAATGCAAGGTATGTGAGCCAAGTATGGAAAATAGGAATACAATTGGAGAATGAATTAGAGAGGGGAGTGATAGAGAGAACTGTTAAAAAACTTATGGTGGACGAGGATGGGAAGGGAATGAGGGTGAGGGCCAAGGAGTTGAAGGAGAAAATAGAAGTTAGTATGAAGGGTGGCTCTACCTCATTGAATGAGCTTGTGGAATTTATGAGGTCATTTTAATTGGAACAAGAAGTGTTTTTTTCTCTTTTCTCAACTAAGTGCTTTCTGGAACGAATTCACACAATCATTCCCTCCCCCTAAGCCATCCTTACAGTATTTGGTGGGAGATGTTGAATGCTAGGCCTCTTTGTATTCTGATAAATAAGTAACGTACATCATGTAAGAGTCAAAACATTTTTTCCAATTTCAAAAACATGTCCCTTGTGAAATAAATAAGATCATCTGTTTATCTGTTCACGTTGATGTTGTTACTGTGCTTATAACCATTGCCATTTGATTTATAAAGATTGACTATTAAGCATAGGGTTTATGGTGTAGAATTATATCAAAAGTATAATTAAAGGAAAGTTCAAGATGACACGGCTTACCAATACAGAAGAAGTAAATAGAGGATGCTGGCTCATCTTGAACTTAATAAGAAATAATGAAAATAAAATTATTAACATAAAGAAATAGAGTATCATGTTACTAGGAGTCATCAATTGTTTACGGAAAGAGGACGAGTATGATAAAGATCAGTTTCCTCTCCTAAAACTACCCACAACTAGCCAATATACTTTTCAATCTTAGAGATGAGTATCCAAAGTTTACTTATTTCTTGAAACGCAATACCCAGCTGTCCTGAGAACCACATGCTTCTGTACCAAACAATTTATGGAAAAAAGGCAAACTTATTATTAATTGACTTACCTATCTGCTTAATGTGGTCTCTGCAGGACTGAAGGACCACTCTGTATTCTATTATAGCAACAATTGCAGTACAAAATGCAAACTCTAGTGCTTAAGATTAATCTCTCTCTCTGAAAATGAGGGGAAGAGACTAATGCCTGAGTCCTCTTACTGCTTATCTATGGCTCAGATTGATTGAGCTGTTGCCTCATGAAGGCTATTTGAAAAAGAGGTTGCATTGCGAAATGGGCACCCCAGATGTAAGTTTTGGCTCATGGATCAGTGGGTGGGTTTTGGAGCCATTGTGATTGGAACTCAACCCTGAAAAGTATTTCTGAAGGGTTTCCGATGTTATGCAGGCCGTGCTTTAGTGATCAGAAGGTGCATGCAAGGTATGTCAGTCAAGTATGGAAAATAGGGATACAACTGGAGAATGAATTAGAGAGGGGAGAGATAGAGAGAGCTCTTAGAAAACTTATGGTAGATGAGGATGGGAAGGGAATGAGGGTGAGGGCCAGGGAGTTGAAGGAGAAAATAGATGTCAGTATGAAGGGTGGCTCTACCTACCATTCCTTGAATGAGCTTGTGGAGCTTAAAAAGTCATTTTAATTGGAACAACAAGTGTTTTTTTTTTTCCCTCAACTAAGTCCTTTGTCATTAAATTTATAGTTGAGGCTTCTTGCATCTGATGTAAACAAACTTCTGTTTGTAGTACATTACTCACTCTTAAATGAAATTTACTATTCCAATGCATTGGTTTGTACAATCCAGACTTTACATTTCAAAGTGGTTGAAGCAACAATATCAAGGTGATTCTACGAACTCACACAATCATTCCACTACAAATCATTGATGGAAAATTGTTTCTCTGCTCTTCTTTCGTTGATCGTCGCTACCAACGAAAGAGGGTGAAGAGGTTCTGTTATAGCACAAAATAAAGAAGAATAGCAAAGATAGGAGGAACAACGTCTAGTGTCCATTGCTCTGTTTCTCTAGATTGAAGTGGGTGTAACTAACCGTTAAGTTCTTTATCTTCGTGAAAACCCATACTACTTAAGCAGGAAAACGGGCTTTTACTCGGTGGTTCTCTCGAAACTAAGATGAACTAAAGCCAATTTCCTAGGACGACTCCTAAAAGATGGTTGCATTGATCTTTCAAGGTGTATAACAATTTAGATATTTTTCATCTCTCTGAAAGCTGCATTGACATTGTTTTAGCCTTTTCTTGAGAACTATGGTTCGATGTTCTCTGGTTCTCATATATAAAAATGTTTCAGAGATTTCGATGACTTACTGCAACTGATAACGAAATCCCACGATTTAAGCCCAAACAAGTGCCTTTCAGCTCCTGCTCTCTGAGTGATCTTGGAAAGCTGACATCTTGGGCTTCTTGCTTGTCACACAAGTCATGTTCTGTTTCATAAGTTGCAAAAAGTTTCTTTGAGTTTCCATTCTCACTCCACATCTTTTCAACCAAAGTAATTAAAATGTATTTATGCATTCTCAATATATTATTACTAGCATGACAAATAAACACACACCTACACGAGCGGTACGATCTGGTTGGAGATGTTGAATGATGTTGGCAAGTACGCCTATTTCCCCTCTAGTATGATGGCCTACATGAAATTGCTTCTTCAGAACAAGAACAGCCTGGCCGTTGAACAACCAGCAACTTAATTTTTGAATTCTGTCCATTTATGCTATAAAGAGTGAACATCTTTCTTTCCAACTTCAAAAACCACATGTTGCTTGTGATATAAGACCATCTGATTACGACCTAAACCCTTTCGTTGAAGTTTAGGGTTTATAATTTAGTATTTATCAAACAAACAATCCGTGCTTATCATTCTCTCTTGAACTTATTTATAAAAAATAAAAATAAAAACAATCAAAATAGATTTACCATAAAGCAAAAAAAAAAAGTTATTAGAAGGTGAGCATTCAACCTAAAACCAATTGATGATGGATAGAGAGTTCTAAGATCATTTAAACCACTAAGTCAAGATTTCTTTCTGAAAGAGGATGAGAGAATCAGTCCTTAGCGCCTTAATCCATGAAGATGTAGATGATAAAGAACTGGTAGCTGAGTATCTCTATCAGGATAATGCATGACTGAGGCACTATACCATAAAGTCTGTCTCTTTAACCCGGCCAGTATATTTTCAGTACTTCAAAGACAAGATTCCAAAATTTGTTTAAAAACTACAACAACCAACTGCTAGAATCACATGCTTATCTCCACACAAAAAATTATATAAAAGAACAAATTTATTTCTAATTTAGCATGACATGTGCGAATAAAGAAGTGCCAAATTATTCACCAAAAACTGAATTGCTATATTATGATAAATTTCTATAAGCACCAACACAAAGCAAGACAGTTTCCAATAGCTGTAGCCTATTGGGGAGAGAGAGAGAGAGAGAGAGAGAGAGAGAGAAAAGAGGAGAGGAGAAGAGGAGAGAAGAGAGAAAGAGGGAAGGGGAGGGAGATGGAAAAGAAAACACAGAGTAGTCAAAGGTTGGTTTTATTCCCATGTCCATACCAAGGCCACATTAACCCAATGCTTCAGTTGGGTACCTTCCTTCACTCAAAGGGCTTTTCCATTACAGTTGTTCACACCCATTTCAACTCTCCTAACCCTTCAAACCACCCTGAATTCACCTTTTTTCCAATACCAGATGGCTTAACTGCTGATGAGATATCATCTGGGAATATAATGGCCATTCTGTTGGCTCTTAATGCCAATTGCAAAGCGAGTTTTGAACAAACCTTGACTGAAGTGATGGAAAAAGAACCGCAGAATAAAATCATCTGCATCATCCATGATGACATCATGTACTTCTCTGAAGCCGTGGCTCGTCATCTAAACATTCCAAGCATCATGTTACGCACTACCAGTGTTACAAATTTTCTTGCTCGCAGTGCCGTCCTACAACTTCATTCAGAAGATCACCTTCCATTCCCAGGTACGTGAGATATATTTCCTGATCAGAACACAGTATGCATGTGTATCCATCTTAAAGGCTATTATAATAGCGCTGGTAGTTGAAATCCCAAAATTCCAATGCTTTACTTGAATAGTAGAGCTAATGTTTCCTTCTGCCATGTTGTATGATTTTCATTCTTCTTACTTATAACTAAGAGCACAACTCTGGATTGCAGACTCTCTGTCACTGAATCCGGTGCCCCAGTTTCATCCCCTCAGGTTCAAGGATCTGCCCACCTCCAACTTGGACACATTTGAAAACTATTCAAAACTAGCCGTTAATGCGGGCAATGTTAGGACGGCCTCAGCCATCATTTGGAACACCGTGGATTGCCTTGAACAATCATCACTAGCACAGATCCAGCAACAATGTCAAGTTCCAATCTTCTTTATAGGTCCTCTTCACAAGATTGCACCAGCAGCCTCCAGTAGTTTACTAGAAGAGGACACCAGCTGCATTGCGTGGCTCGAAAAACAATCTCATAAGTCAGTTATCTATGTCAGCTTGGGGAGTGTAGCATCCATCGGTGAGAAGGAACTAGGTGAAATGGCTTGGGGATTAGCTAACAGCAATCAACCTTTCTTGTGGGTGATCAGACCTGGCTCAATTTGTGGTTTAAATTGGAATGAGACATTGCCTCAAGGTTTCATAGAAGCTGTTGGAGAAAGAGGTTGCATTGTCAAATGGGCACCCCAAAGAGAAGTTTTGACTCATGGCGCGGTGGGTGGATTTTGGAGCCATTGCGGTTGGAACTCAACCCTAGAAAGTTTATCTGAAGGTGTTCCAATGATATGCACGCCGAGTTTTGGCGATCAGAAGGTGCACGCAAGGTATATCAGCCAAGTATGGAGAGTAGGCGTCCAATTGGAGAATGAGTTAGAAAGAGGAGAGATAGAGAGAGCTGTGAGAACACTGATGGTAGATGATGATGGGGAGGCGATGAGGATAAGGGCCAAAGATTTGAAGGAGAAAATAGAAGTTTGTATGAAGAAGGGTGGCTCTTCTTACAGTTTCTTGAATAAGCTCGTGGAGCTTATCATGTCATTGTAATTGCAACAACAGTTGATTTTTTACTACTAGGTCCCTTCTTCAGACATTGATAGATGAGGCTTCCTGCATATGGATGTCAAAAAAAAACTTCTGTTGTCCATCCTCCGCGTTGAATAAAGTAAAAATTGTTTTTTGGCTCTTGTTTCATTGATCTTCTCTACCAAACTAAGGAGGTGTAGGTAGTTCTGTCAGAGTTAAGACCACCAAAAGGGACCAACTAGATTTTCGCTTTAATTTAGTTAGGTATATAGAACCCAAAAGAAATTTGTACCCAAACAAAACATATGGCCGAGGGGAGACCAACAATGTCAATTGTCTCAGCTTAAGTACCCCACAACAGAAGGTCTTGTATAAATATAATAAATAAGCAAAAAGAATAAAGCAAAGACAGGGATAACAATGTCAATTATTCATCCCTCTGTAGTGGGTCAAGGATTGCCAAACAAGAGTTAACATCTGTCTCTCTTACATTTAACTGGCTGTGTTCTAGCTTTAATTTTGTATCTATGTTAATTGACTAACATTTTCAGGCATAACAAGTAACAAAATCAAAACCCTATTACTTCATAATGAAGCAAAAAAATGGGCTTCTTTGGGTTGCTGTCTTATGACTAAAGACCAACTATAGCCAATTGTCTAGCCTTCGTTATCCAATCGGCTCTCAGCCATGAAATTTCCAACCCAAAGGTTATTATTAAATTAATCTCCAAAGTCTTCTATCTTATTTTAAAATAAGGACTAGCTAAATGTAAGACCTTTTCCAGGAAATGTTGTTAAGTACCCTAATTTTCAAACTTAATAAGGAATTTTCTCTATACACAGAATGAGTTCAATGCTGACTTTTGATGTAGCTAGTCTATAAGCTACAAGGAATGGATTTACAACTTATTTGACAATCCCAAAATACTTATTCCTGCTACACAGACCTGTTCTCAGAAAGAGAGAGAGAGAGAGAGGGAGATGGAAAAACAACATAGATGCCGCAGATTGGTTCTGGTTCCATGCCCATTCCAAGGGCACATAACTCCGATGCTTCAACTCGGCACTATCCTTCACTCCAAGGGCTTCTACATCACAATCGCTCACACCCAGTTCAACTTTCCCAACCCACTGAACTACCCTGATTTCAACTTCTTAGAGATGTATGAAGGCTTACATGAGCAAAATGTCTCGTCCCACAATTTTATAGATGTGATATCGGGTTTTAATGCCAACTGCAAAGCCCCGCTTCAGGAGTCATTGGCTCGGATGATGGAGAAAGAGGATCAACATAGTAAGATTGCATGCATCATCTATGATGAATACATGTATTTCTCGGAAGAGGCTGCTAATCATCTAGGGTTTCCTAGCATTATATTGTCTACTAGCAGTGCAGCAAACATACCAAGCAATTCCTAGGCTCCTAAAAGATGGTACATTCCAATTCCAGGTGTGTAACAATCAGACATCTTTCATCTTTCTCAGTGCTGCCATATGAGATGTTAATACATCAAATATAAATTTGTATTAATTAATTACTGTTTTAATATTTTCATGAGAAATAAGGCTCTATGATTCTCTGGTTCTCATAACATAACTTTAACCTATGCTTGATCTAACCTTAAGATCTCTGCTACTCGACCTATGTGGGTGCAGATGCTATGATGCTGGAACTGGTAGAACCGCTCAGATTGAAAGACCTACCAATTACCAATTTCAGAGATTTGGATGACTTACTGCAACTAATAGTGAAAGCCCACGATTCAAGGTCATCTTCGGCCATCATTTGGAACACCATGGACTGCCTCGAACAATCATCATCGGCACTTCTCCGGCAAGAATACCAACTTCCATGGTTTCCTATCGGTCCTCTGCACAGAACTATTCCAGCCCCCTCCACCAGCTTATTGAAAGAGGACCAGAATTGCATTTCATGGATGGACAAACAATCACACAACTCTGTCATCCATGCAAGCGTGGGAAGCATAGCCTTCTTGGACAGTAAAGAACTAGCAGAAATGGTGTGGGGTCTGGCCAACAGTGAGCACCCTTTCTTGTGGGTGGTTCGAACCAACTCCATATTATTGCCAGAAAGTTTCCAAGAAACTGTTGGAGAAAGGGGTTGCATAACGAAATGGGCACCCCAAAAGGAGGTCTTGGCACACAGCGCAGTTGGAGGGTTTTGGAGCCATTGCGGTTGGAACTCAACCATTGAAAGCATCTCTGAAGAAGTTCCAACGATATGCCAACCATATTTTGGGGACCAAAGAGTGAACTCAAGGTACTTGAGCCAAGTATGGGGTGTAGGGTTGGAATGGGAGAATGACATGAACAGAGGACCAATAGAGGAAGCTATAAGAATGCTTATGGTGGGCAAAGAAGGGGAAGTGATAAGACAAAGAACAAAAGATTTGAAGGTGAAAATCGAACTTTCTATGAAGCAAGCCGGTTCTTCCTACAATTCCTTGAATGAATTGGTAGACCAAATCTTGTCATTCTAATTGCATAAATGTTAAAGATGATATCAACAACTCAATGTAAATACATAATCAGTTATTGCAAATTTCATCATCCATTATATATTATTCCATACAAAGTAGACGAACACAGCATACAATTTCATACTCCATTAGCAGAATCAGTTATTGCGAAGATCATCATTTCTAATATTTTGTACAATACAGAGTAGATGAACGCAACATCTAACATCATACAACATAGCACATTAAGTTCAGCTAAAAGCATTACAAACTCACACCTATTTTTTTTACATTATAATCACATAAAGACACAAACTTTATTCACATTCTGACACAAAACGCAGCTACCCATTATCTTAAATTAGCCAAAAGAGGACCTCACCACCTTAATCTTCGCCAGAAATTTCAATGGCTCTGATATTGGGCCTGCTGGGCTCCTCCTTAGGAACAGTGACAGTGAGAACCCCATTGCTCATGAAGGCCTTATGCTGCTCAATCTTGGCGTTGTCCGGAAGCTTAAACTTTGTCATGAAGCTACCGCTGTCTGTACTGATCTGAAGCACACGCTCGTCTTGAAGCTCCACAAGCACGTCCTCGTTCATGAACGCAGGAAGAGCCGCCTTTAGGATGTGGGCATTTCGGGTCTCTCTCCAATCTAGTCTTGAGTTTACCGAAGAACCCAGATTGAATTCCCGGAAAACGTTGGAGAGTGAGGAAGGGAATGGGAAAGGGAAATCTGTGAATGGGTCCCACAGGTCAAGAGCCAAGGAAGGGTCGAAGTCACTGCCTCGTTGCTCGTTGATTGGGACGATTGACATCTTTGTTCAACTGGGTTTGGTTTGGGATTGAGTTTCTGAGAATCAAGAGATCATAACAAAAATGGAGAAGAACGTGAGCAACTTTTTCCAAGGAATTTGTGAAGTGAGCTGAGACTGGTGGCTGTTTTAAATGGTGACAAGTGGATTGAGGTAGAAGAAATTGGGTGGGCCCCACCTAATGTGTTGGACTAAATTAACGGTCTTTGGTTTTGGTCGAAAAGTTGAGAACTTGTGTATCGACTGTGGGGTGGATAGCAACACTCTTTACCATGCTTTTTATTTCTTTATAGGCAACCAACAATGCAACTCTGCGATATGGCACCCTTTGAAGCCCCAGCTCTTCATCCCAAAAGCCTACTTATTGAGCTTTGAAAAACTCACTCCTAAATTGTTCATTCCGAGTCACTTCACTCTGTTTCTGTGCCTTGTCACCAATACAGGCGTTGTCAATCTTGAATGGCATCTCCTGCATATTGTCTGCACAAAGAGCAGAACCCTCAGAATCACAAATGTGTGGCCAGACATATGAGAATTCTGAGGACTATGGAAATAAAATGAATTAGTTAGTGACAATGTGCAGCAATGAACAATTTAAAACAATGATACTATGATCTCTGTTATCTTCTAGCCTCATTCAGCAATCATGTTTGCTTAATAAGTAAGCTCAATCTCCCTAATCTCTGAATTTCGACATGAAAAAAAAATCCTAATCAATTTCAAAGTTCCAAATCTGTGACTGATGCATGTTATGCTAATAAAAGTCTGTAGAGAATGGACAACAAGACACCAGAAATCAGAGTACGATCAAAATGAAATTCATCTTGCATACTCCCATTAAATTCTGATACCAGAGGATATAGATAAAATGCTTCTGGCTTTTTTTTTTCTTTTTTTTTTTTCATATAGCAGTACTCGCCTCTTGCTAAATTTGAGAGAGTGGCAAACCATGCGATTATGTTACTTCTTGACACAAACGTGTAACTTGTTCTGCAGTCACCATGCTCGTTATTTCTTGAACAAGAAGTCATGGTTGAACCTACTCAATTTCTAGGGATGCAAAGTATACTAACAATATTTCAAAACAAGAAAGGAAAAAAAAACAGTTGAAAACTCCAAAAAAACAAAAAACAAAAAACATCGGTATTCATTGATAAAAGATCCACTCATTACAATTATAACTGACATGGACGATTTTTCATATTTTGAAATCGTTGCATAATAACCTCATCGTCGATACTATCAAGAATGTCTGTCTCAATATATGGAATCAATCTATCCTTCATCCTTTCATCTTCCATTCGGTTGCGTAATCGATTCTTCACAATATTCATAGCAGAAAACACCCTATCTATCCTGGGAGTTGCAACTGGTAAGATAAGTGCCAATGTCAACAGCAAGTAAACTAATGGGAAAACAGAGTCTTTTTTTGTCTCAACCATTTTTTGTGCAAGATCAGCGATCCCGTTCAATCCTGAAAACTCGATGCTAGAACGCATGTCCATAATGTACTTCTCAAGCTGATCTTCAAGTATCATTAAGTCAAGTGTAGAAAAGTCATTTGGATAATACTGAGCAAGACAAATCAACTTTTGTTTGTCAAAAGCAGAGAATGAATCACTCGGATTCAAACATGCCACACAAAGAAGCAACCCTGTATTCATTTCAGTGAATCGAACATTTAGCTCTTGAATTTGCATATCTATAACAGTACAAAACAACTCAACACGATAATAATGCATGTTTGTGATCACCAATATCCTGATCATTTTTTTGTAATGCTTGTGACAAACCATCTGTGATTCGCAAAATGTTTATCATCATATGTAGACTAAAAATAAAACCAAATGACTGGAGGGGACCCAATAGAACCCGTGCTTTAGATTTCTGTTCAGAATCTAATCCAAACTCTGCTATGACCTCAAGTACATCTATCACAGATGAGAACATGGTAAACAAGCTTATCAAAATCTTAAATTTGGAGCTGCCCTCATTTAGACCTTGTTCACTTAAAAGCTCGCTGGTATTGAGTGCTTCAAAAACTAAAACATCATGTTTCTCCCAAAGAGTGTCACGACATTCAACAAATTCTCCAACAACATTCACCACCTTAGCAACCCAAGCAAAAAGATCCACAATTTCTAAATGATTCTTTGACATGGCTATAAGAGTTGAATGAAGATCATGAGCAAAGCAATGGACGTAAAATGCACACTCATTCGCCTTCACTATAAGTGTCTTAAGATTATTCAACTCACCTTGCATATTACTTGTCCCACCATAACCTTGCCCCCGTAACTTAGCCATGCTTAATCCATGAGTAGAAAAGAAATCATCAATCGCCCCCTTAAGCGAGACAGCGGTGTCGTCGGTAGCTTGCACAATACCTAAATAACGCTCAATTACATGACCTTTATCTACAAAACGTAATACAATAGCCATCTGATCCTGTGAAGACATGTCATGAAGCTCATCAATAAGAATGGAAAATAATGAATCACCAATATCTCCAACGATTGCATTGATGATTTCCGTCGAAATAGCAATTTCAATGTCCTTCTGAGTATCAGATGATGTCAACTTCAGGGTTAAGGAAGCATTGTTCAATGTGACAGCTTTTATATCCTCATCATAATTACATCGTAATCTCAAAAGGTCAGCAAACATTCCTTGGTTGTTTGAATCTTCATATTCATCATCTCCACAGAACAGAAGCCCTTGTCGCAAAAGAAATCTCATGCAACTAACTGATGCACCCAAAAGAGTTTTATATTCAGTTTGAGCTTCGATTTGCTTTGAAAAAGCTTTACAGTTGCTCCAAGCTTGGTTGTGGGCACTCATCGGTCCTCCAACATGATTTGCCACTCTATAACACAACCAAGTAGGAAATTCATCATACCAAGCAGGAATGAACCTTCTTGGCCCTCCACTAATAATCCTCTGGGGGAAGGAATGGTTTCGGGGCTGAAAAGGACCTTTTTGTAGATAAGCCCTTCGAACTTGATCCCGAACATTAGGATGGTAATCCCAAATTCGAGTGCGTAGTCCAGGATCAAGAGGGAGATCTTCCAAGTTGATTTCCAAGCAAGCTTGTTTTGAACTATTAACAACTTCATTTGGAGGCGATGATGACGCCATGACCGTTGATTTCCTTTTAAAATATCTTTCCATGACCGTTCTGTTTCAAAACTTGGTTCTTTTAGCATATATATTCAAACCAAAATTTCTTCAAAATTCCAACAATTTATCAAAAACTATTTCTATTTGCATAAATGCAATCATCAAGAAAACAGTACAAGAATAACCATCCAAACTAACAGAAATCTCTACAAAAATTCAGGAAAACACTACAAAAATTTCTTGATATACAACTACTGAGTACAAAAAATTGCTTCTTGAATAAAATTTTAGCTAGAGAAGTTTTCTTACCTCTGGTGAGATTGAGAGAGCCACGATAGATAACAGAAGAAGTATTTATGCTTCGAAAATCACTAGGCGTTAGGTAAGTGTGAGAATGAGAGAGAAAGAGACTTGAAAGAGATTCGCGCCTCCAGACGTCTGAGAGCGAGAAAGGGAGGGAAATTGCGGAAGGAAAAACAAAAAGAAAGAAAGGAAGAGGGTAAGTGGTGGCACTTATTCATTAGGGCTCTAAGGGCATTTGGGTAATTGGACACGCTCGTTCCACAAAAATAGTTCTTTAAGGCCTTGGGTCTGGCCCAATGAAAGGGTCCTGACATTACAGGTTAATGGGCTCAAATTTGAATTCGCGTGATATTTCGACAGTGTGTATGAGAAAATCACCTTCCTAATATCACTTATGTACAGAAATATATACAGTTATTCAGATTAAAAAATATATATATATATATACAGTTAACACAACAAGTAACACACGTGGTAAATGACAAATCGAATTAAAACCTTTTCTTCTTTTTTTTGACAAATATGAAAAATCACATCCAAGATACTCTTGAAATCGGCCCAGTTTAAGCTGAGTGATTAGTGTTTGTAATTTACAAGTCTTGCTTATATGCCTGGATTTCTAGACCAATATTTGTTGACTATAAATATTTGCTTTCGCGTGTCTGAAACTTTGAGGTGTGCTCATATATCCACAAAGATCCACGGGGTTATCATTGTACTCGTAAGTAACTACAAACTTGTTGCAACTCATAACATGGTTGGGGACCCATATTGACTTTTATCTTAGTAACATATTGACCTTGATCTTTTATTGGGGCTTTGGGTTAGGGATGGACAACGGCTACACGAATACAAACTACCATCGTAATGGGGTAACTCATTTGGGTCAATTGGTACCCATTATCCATAGCTACCTTAGGTATGCAATTCACTCTATCCAAATTTTATTGATGTAATTGTGATTCATATCTTAAGTTTAACTATTGAACAACATTTATGAATACATAGAAGTTCCTAAATTTAATGACGTGTGACTCACTTTATAGAGGCACACCGCTAAAATTATAAAATTTTCCATATTGCAATTTTACCCTGAGATTGGCACAACATATTTGAAGAAATCTAAGATTTGATCTCTAGATTTTTCATACTTTTTCACTGCACATTTGACATGAATAAAATTTCACCACTAATCATTCCATATTTGTGAAACTTCTCACAATATGTGTATTTGCACGCCTATTGTAACATTATAGTTAACAACAATAAGAAGACTCTGATTTATATCATTTTAAGAAAGTGTGATATTAGCAAGGGAGTGTAATTCATCTTTATTTATGTTCATATCCATGAATAATGTAAATTTACATGAGATATTGCGAGAAACTAACAATTTCAGGTCAGTTTTCTTTATTCTATTCTTTTTAATTTGAGATAATTATTCAATATCTTACATTAACTTAAACTATAACTTGGGGTTCGACCAGAAACTATAACCTGGGTTGTGTTTGAAATTACGGTAACCTAATTAATTAAAACTTTTTTTTTTTGTTAGATAATTAATTAAAACTTTAATGTTGTTAATGGCACAATATCTTTGTCAAAACAGGAAAAAGATGATCCCCTCACCCTTGTGTCATTCTTCAACTATGGTGACGCATAATTCAATGAAATTTTCACCAAAAATTGCAAACTCGGACCTAACACAGGGTAAAAAAGAGTTAAAATGGGACTTGGTGTTAAAAAACTAAGTCGGAAATTTCAATGACATTTTTGTTGATTTGGTTCGGCATTTTGGGTTCGTTTCCATGCCAAATGACAGCTCGACATCGTTCCAGTGCCAAGGACAATTCTTGTTTGTGTTTTTGCTGGTTTGATGACAAGTGGAAAGAAAAATCAGAACGTGTTTTTTATATTGTTAATTTAATTTAATTTAATTTTTTTCGTTTTTATCAGTTTTAGTTGTAATTGTTTATTGGAATTTTAGTTGTTTTACCCTCTTAACTAGGACCCTTGTATAATTTAAACCCCACTAAAAAAATCAGCCAATTTAATACCCAACTCATTAAAAATTAACCAATTTAAAAAATCAGCCACTAAAATCGATCAGATTATTATAGCATCTTCAACCGATATGTCAAATTGCTACATGGACATGAAATAACAAAAATTAAAGGTTAAAATTGCTCCAACTGAGTAGTCAAATCCTACATGGATTTGAAGGTTTAGAAGAGATATGTCAAAAATAACATATCAAAAAGCTTGATGTCAAAAATAACCATTTGTGTCTTCATGGTGATATGTAGGGGTGCATGTGTCTTCCTAGGGGTGGGAATCAATTCAGCCGAACAAAATCGTAATTATAAGTTTAATTTTTGGTTTTCAATAAAACGTCAAATGGTTTAAAAACCGAACTAGATCATATATGATTTGATTTGGTTTGGTTTTGAGCTTTTGTAAATATGATTTTATTTATATTATATTTTACATGTGTAATACTCGAATTAGATCATAACTATATATGGATATTTGAATTGAGCTATATTAGTTATTGAAATTTGAAGTTTTATGGCATGTTGAGCTTTAGGATGGTTTCGTACTCTAAAAAATGATTTACGTATGAAGCAAGTTGTGAATTTGTTAGTTATAATTGGGTTAACAATGTTGAAAAAATACAAAAAGAAAGAGAATTGGGCTTAGGCTCAAACTAGATGAACCAAACCATCTTAAATTGGTTTGGTTTGGTTCGAATTTGTTTCCTTCATGACTTTAGTCAAAATCAAACTGAATCAAACCATTATATTGTAATTAGTTCGGCGGTGGTTTTAAGGAGAAACCAATTCAATCCGAACTATGCCCACCCCAATGTCTTCCTTTGGGATGTTGTCAAATAGGAAAGACGCTTTCAAGTTATGGTAAGCTTTACTTAGTGCGGAGCAAATTACTCTTCAAGGCCCTATATATCTTTATGTCAATCTTTTTTTAAGATATTTTAATTACAAGTGATGACAATAGCAGGTTCGACCCGTACATGTTATGTGGACTAGGCGATGGCACAAGGGCCCCAAAAAAAAGGGGTCTCCTATAATACTTTTTAGCTCAAGAGATATTCTAGCGGAAGGTAAAAAAAAAACATTTTGTGTGTAACTAGGGTTGGCAATGGGTCGTGTCGTGTTGGGATAATAAACGTGTCAAGAATGCTCAACTCGAACCCAACTCGTTTAATAAACGTGTCGTGTCGGGTTCGGGTCGTCTTTTGTCGTGCGGGTTTCGAGTCATATAACGGGTTCATAAATAATAACATGCATGTTACAAAACTCACAACTGAAAAATTTTAAATAAAAAAAACGGAGAGAGGAGAGAAAATATAAGGAATAGAAAGAAAAAAAAAGATAGAGAGATGAGAGAAGAGAGAAGGAAAAGAAAAAAAAAATAGAGACAGAGAGAGAGGAGTGAAGAGAGAAGGAAAGAAATAAAAAATAAATAAAAAAGAGAGGAGAGAAAACTAAAGAGAAGGAAAAAAAAGAGAGGAGGGAAGAGAGAAGAGAGAAGGAAAAGAAAAAAAAAATAGAGACAGAGAGAGAGGAGTGAAGAGAGAAGGAAAGAAATAAAAAATAAATAAAAAAGAGAGGAGAGAAAACTAAAGAGAAGGAAAAAAAAGAGAGGAGGGAAGAGAGAAGAGAGAAGGAAAAGAAAAAAAAGAAAAAAAAAGGAGAAGATAGACGGAAAACAAAAAAAGAAAAAGAAACATTATAAATATCAAAAGGTATAATATGTAATCACAAAGTTGTATGTAGCATGGTGGATAAAGTGTTTGAGAGGAATGAGGGTGGTGGAGGTTTGAAACCCCTTGTGTGCGTGTTGAACTCTACATTTCTCTTCATTTTTTCGAGGGTTGACACGACCCGTTTAATAAACGGGTTAAACAGGTATTATAGCGGGTTAGCGAGTTGACCCGAAACTCACCTATTTATAAAACGGGTCAGAACGGGTTGATCCGAAATTGACCTGTTTTTTTATCGTGCGGGTTTCGAGTCGTGTATCGGTGCCACCCCTATGTGTAACTGGTGCTTTTTTGGCTTTATTCTAAATTGTTTTGGGCCTTTTTCTTTATTTTTTATATAGTGAGCCTATTTTACATAAACTAACACAGTTAACACCTACGCTTGAAAACTTTTTATTTAAGTTGTTGTTCAAAATAAGGTAAACATTGAATAAATGGTTAAATACCTTTTTGGGCAATGGGTTTTACACGAAAATTCAATTTGGTCATTGAGAAAACAAATTTAGTCAAATCGGTCACTGTGTTTCCAAAAATTTACAATTTATAGACATTTCTTTATCTTTCGTTAACTGTTATTGAATGCAGTTTACATTTTTATATTTTCAGGAAGCATGTTCAAGTCTTCTTCCTCTAACTCAGCGAGTTAGGTTATTATGCTATAAGCGTTTTAAAAATGGGGGAAAATCTTGGGTTGAAATCGAAATAATTAGGTATCACGAATTGGGTGTTATAAGCCTGAATCGATTGAGTGAGAACCGTATTGTGACTTTAGATGACAAGGAGATGTAATGAAGGTGATACAACACCAAAATATATTGGTAAGTTGTTGATTTCATTTTAATTTGGTTTGGCCTTTTGATTTTCCTTATACCTCACAATTTCGATTTCAACCCAAGATTTCCCCCAATTTGCTAAACTCTAATAGCACAATATACCATAACTCGTTGAGTTAGAGGAGGAAGAATGAAGGTGTTTCCTAAAAAAATAAAATAAATACTACATTTAACAAAAGAAAACGGAATGTCTATAAATTGTAAACTTTGAGAAACACAGTGACCAATTTGGCTAAATTTTTTTCTCAATGACCAAATTTAATTTTCATGTAAAACCTAATGACAAAAAAAAATGCCTCAAGTTTTTATTTCTACCCACGGCCTCCAAAATCAATGGACCGGCCTTGAACAATAGCAAATTGCCACCATCTTCAACTCAAGAATATTGGTCCTCCACGATACTTGTTTAGCCTTGAGATTTCTCACATGGGGCTGAGCGGTTGTCGTTCAGTGACCCTTTAATGAAGTGAAAACCCAAAACTTAACAAGGTTGATGATATATAAGCAAGGTCTAAAATATTGAGGGTTTCGAAAATATTGGTAATATCACTTTATTTCATTTCCCATGTTTGATTTGTGTATGAATGTAAAACAAAGTTTGTTTAATTTTTCAATTATACCCATATTAGATATAAAAAAATAAAAAATAATGCATTTAATGCTCTATTGTAATTCTACATTATTAATAGAGAAAAAGGGTCATTAAAATGGTGCACTAGTTTCCCATGTGAAGGGAAAATAAAACCCAAGGGGGGGTGGTGGTTTCATTTTCTCCTTATTTTTCCATGTGTCATGCAACTATTTCTCATGCATGAATTTGACATTTCCCATGAACTAAATGCCCCTTTTATACATTGCATAGTAAGATACATGAGTAATTTAGTACCATAATATTTGCAAATTGTGGCCATATTTTTTTCCATCTAGTGGGTCTCCATGTTCCCACATAATCATGTCTATTTCCTCCATTAGACATCTTAAATATTCCTATATTCATTTGTCATGGAAATTAGGTACAATTTTTTTTTTTTTTGCCAAATGATGGGAAATTTTCATTAAATAGGAATAGAAAGGTTTGCAATGCTAAAAAAAATAGTTGTGATGGATATCCAAGGGAACCTAAATAAAGTTATCCTAAGGAATATGGATTGGATAAGTCACTAAATTTAAGATATGTTGAAGAAGGAAATGAAGGTAGAAGTGAATGACTTTCCATTTTCGGAGGATTAGGAGGGATTATTTATAAGGTGCTACTATCCTCCAATTTTGTGGGGATTAGATGGGATAAGTTTTCTTCATGAGTAATCGATCTTCTACCTTCAACTTGGTAAATAAAAAATCATTTCTTCCTTAAACATGCTTTAAATATATGGAGAATCCAATTCAATCCAATAATAGTCACCAAACGAGCCCTGTGTTTACTACTCAACATTAAAAAGTACGAGAAATACAATTAAAGAGAAAAATAGAATAAATAATCATTTAGTTTTTTATTTTAATGACTATGAGTATTGTAAAATTATACCTAAAAAAAGCTTTTCAATCGTTTTTTGTTGTTGGAAATTGAAGTGTAATTTTACATGCACGAAAAATTCAGATGATACAATTATGGCAATTAGGAGTGCCTTAGCCTTTGTCGTGGCCTTATCAATCATAGTTCAATATGGAGTCATGAGCATATGACAATCTTGGATCTACGTTGAAATGATGATGTTACTTAAGGCTTAGACCTTAGAGCATGAAATTCCCTTTTCATCTGCATTATGCTTTGTATTTTATTACTTCCTTTCTCATCACATCCTTACCTTTTCCTTTATCCTTTTTCTCATACTTCTCTCCATGATTCCCTTTCGAGCTTAAAGTGATCACTTTAATCCTAGGCGCTGCTTCAAAACGTACATATCCTCTTTTATCTTTTGGCACATCTTATTTTTTGTGATAAAAAAGAGGTATCATCACTTTGATTTGATACTTTCTCCGGCCTGCCTATGCAACTGTAACAATAATTAAGCCATAAGAAAAGATTTACTAGTACCGATGCTGAAGGCAAAACCTCAGAATCCCTGAAAATATAACCAGATACCTTGTTTTTTTTGCCAAAGTTAAAGAAGGTGACAGGCCATCGGGGTTTGCCTTAGTGATGAAGGCAATGGGATCGAAACTTGTTAGTGTGCCATCTTCATTTTCCCACCCTATTCCACCCCCTACCTCCTTATTTACTCCACACCAAAACCCCAAAAAAAAAAAGAAAAAAAAAGAGGGGGGGTGGGGGGAAGGGGGGCCAAAATATAATACTAGCCTATGGACATGTCGGTATGCGTGTGTCAATAATTTTTTTAATTTATAAAGGATTTTGTTGGACATGGACTCTTATTCATTTTTCAAAATTATGTGTATTTTTCATATAGAGTGAAGTGTCGTTTTACTTCCCGAACTGTGACTCTAATCAAACTTACCCCCAAACTAAAAAGTTAGCCAAACTAACATTTGAATTAATTAAAATATTTCGAAATTTCATCCAATTTTTCGTTAGTAATAAGGATAAATTTGCAATTTTGAGTAAAATAATAGTAAAATACATAAAAGAAAAAGAAAAAGAATAAATAAAATAACATTATTTATAATTGTAAAAATTAAAAGTATATTGGTCTGTTATAGCTTCTCGTAATTCTGGTGGACACTCCCCCGTAATAAGGACAAAATTGGTTTGAAAAATTGAGTGGCATAAATAAATTATATTGACATCCAAGTGTGCGGAAATAACAGAATTTCAACATGCCTGCTGGTTAAGAAAAAAAAACACAATGCTCAAAGTGTGTCCAAACTCCCATTAGTATTTCTTGTCACTGTGGAGGAGGAGTTTATGACATTGATATAGACTCCAATGTACTTTCTTAATGTAATACACCTGGTGCTTTACATGTTTTTACTAAAGCTCATCATGTAAATATCAACCAAACTGGAAAAGAGGTTATAACCGCGCCCAATTAATCTACACAAAATTGGTAATGTGTTATTGAGCTCCTTCCCCTCCCCCTGATCGCTGTATCTCCACACAAAAAATTGTTTTATTTCGTACCTAGTTACTTTTAGCAAGTGGAGGAGAAAAATTCCAGTGCAATTACCTTTTTTCTCTAGCTAAGGATCCATTGGTGTAGTAGTTTGGAGAAATGCTCTCTCAATAATGACCCTAGATTCGAGTCATAATATCGATGTGTGTGAGTTTAGTAAAGCTCTAGAAAAGTGGTTTGTCCTAACATCACCCAGTAAGATTTACTTGAAGCACTAGAAAAGTAGTTTGTCCAAGCATACAAAGCAATCGTTTAGTAAGCAATCATGTTTATTATCATTACTTTTTTCACTTGTGATATTTCTTTATCTTTCTTCATCACTTGACTCAGTTTCTTCACTGGTAAGTAACTTTTTGGTGCTTCCAGTTATAAATATTTAATTTGTATTTTCTATTTTTTGGTCTAGAATTGATTTGGTGAAAGCTCAAGTTGAGAAAAGAATAGTTAAAAAGCTGAATGTTATAGTTCATTTTGGTATTTGAGCTTGTTTCACTAAGCATCTACAAAAGTAGTTTGTCCAAGCATACGAGCAAAGGAATTGTTTAGTAAGCAATCATGTTTGTCATCATCACTTTCACTTACGATGTTTCTTTATCTTTCTTCATCACCTGATTCAGCTTCTTCACTGGTAAGTACGTAACTTCTTGGTGTTTCCAGTTTTAAATATTTAATTTTTATTTTTTTTAATGCAATTGGTTTGGTGAATGGGGGAGCTAGGATTGTATGTGTTGGGGCCGAACCATATAACACAAGTTTAATAAAGAAAATTTTAATAAATAATAGACTACTAACAAAGTTATTGATTTGGGGGGCGGGGCCATAGCAGGCCCTAAGGTGAATTTTATAGTTCTTTTTGGTCTTTCAGCTTGTTCTCTCTCTCTCTCTCTCTCTCTCTCTCTCTCCCCATATGGTCTTTTCACTCTGTTTGGTCTCGGGGGGAAAAACAATGTTTACTTCTGCTTGACTTATGTCCTTGTAGAAACGAACGAAATTGGAAAAACAAATAACTAGAGTTAGGTACTGTGTTTTTTCTAATGACTTAGATACTGCTCTCTCTCTTTTGTTTTCTTCCATTTTTGTTGGGTCCTAAGCAGGTCCGTTCATAATTTGTCTCACACTTCCAAGAAATTTAGTTGATTCTACAATATTAGAAATATTGGGACTTCTTTTTTTCATCATGGTTTACGATTCTCACTGGGTAAGCTTCTGAATTTTTTTTTTTTTTTCTTTCTGAAATTTTGCAGTTCAACAAGTCTGCATAGTAAATTGGTATTTGTTGGGGCCTAAGTGATTGGAGAGTATATAAATCATGAGTAACGGTGTTCAATCATGCAATGGAGGGTTGCAGCTTAGCAATGATGTGAAGGAGAATGATAATGGGGATGTTGACCTTGTTGAGGAATTTGATTCTTATTGGCAAGATATCAGTTACCGGTTGACCGTGTCTAGGGTGGTGAGTGACACAGTCATCAAGGGTATGGTACAAGAGGCAGCAGAGAAAATTGCTGAAAAAGAACTAGAGGTGACTAAATTGAAAGAAATGTTAAATGTTTACCATGTGGGTGTTGAAAATGAATTCTTGGCGTCTTTAGCAATGCGCCAGGAGTCAAACAGACTTATTAAACAAGGTACCAAAGACAAGATGCATCCTAGCTCTCTTGAAGCTATTTTAGAGTACGATAGAATAGAACAATCTTTGAGCAGCTTAAGAGGAGCAACTAAAGAGGAGTTTAAGAAGCTCGAGGCAGAAATTGATAGCATAAGAGGCAGCTCAGTTAAGATAATTTCTGAGTTGTTGGGTTTGAGTGACATACAGCAAGATAAAGTTTCTGACAGATGGGGAATTGGTGTAGATAGGACGCTTAATTGTCTAAAGAATGCAATAGAAACTGGCTTTCAACGGGTGGAACAAATGGTTCGCTTGTCAAAGGCTGATGTACATGAGTGGCAACAGGAACAGGAGTTTAAAGCAGAAATTGAAGCATTTGTGATGAGGAATGGCATTTGGAGATTCGAAGAAAAAATTTGGGACCAGTTTTATAGTGATAAAAATGTCAATGGACATGGAAGGATGAAAGAGAGGATATCAGGTTTACGTCAGGAATTGGACGCCATTTCTAAATCACTATCTGTTTCTGACTTTGGGCAGCTATCTTCTCATGGATCCTTGGAAGGTGATGAAGAAAGTAATAATTTTAAGAAGGGAGACCATCCCCACCGGAAGGTTTTGAACGATCTTAAATCATCATCTCCATCTCCAGCAACATCACCACCAACATCAACATCATCAGCATCATCATCAGCATCTAGTTGGGAAAAAAATGGCACGCAAGATAAGTCAGAAATAAATATGTCAATAGAAGAATTGATAAATTATTATAATACTGAGATGACTGAGTTGAAGAGAAATCATGAGTCTAAAGTGCAGGATATGACTGAACAACTATTCAGCCACATGAGGGAATTGTTGAAAGAACGGGGATCTTCTTTGCCATCAAAGAAGAATAAGGAGTTTGACATGCTGAGGAGGAGAATATCTGAGGTTATTTCTAAATTAGATGACATTCTTGTCGAAAATGAGCAAAAAGCCACATTTGGTATCGATGAAGAAAGTCTTAGCCGTTTGAAAGACGGACTGGAATCACTCCTTTCAGAAAACGCCCAGCTCAGAGATTTGCTCACAGATAAGAAGAGGGAAATTAAGTGCCTTTCACTGCAAGTTTCTGAAGCTGCAGAGAAAATGTCAGAGCACAATGGTGAATCTTCTGAAGCAAAGGAGCGATTGGAACAAGATGCAGCAGCTGCCTTGGAAAAGGAAAAGGAGCGATATGAATTAGCTGCTCAAGAGCTTGAAAATTTAAGGGGCCAGCTCAGAGATTTGCTCACAGATAAGAAGAGGGAAATTAAGTGCCTTTCACTACAAGTTTCTGAAGCTGCAGAGAAAATGTCAGAGCACAATGGTGAATCTTCTGAAGCAAAGGAGCGATTGGAACAAGATGCAGCAGCTGCCTTGGAAAAGGAAAAGGAGCGATATGAATTAGCTGCTCAAGAGCTTGAAAATTTAAGGGGTGAAATTGAAGATTTGAATATGGAGTCCATCATCATGCAAGAACTAGTTGTAGTTATATTCAGAGACTTGAAGGATGCTGAGCAGAAACTCGATAACCTGAACATGACATATACCAGTGAAAAAGGACTTCGGGTTTCTTTTGAGATGGAAAATCTAGAAAAAGGAAAACAACTAGAAGTTGAGGTTGCAAGCAAAGAAAAGTTGAACCAAAAAATAATCTTTCTGGAAGAAGCAAAGGAGCGATTGGAAGAAGATGCTGCAGCTGCCTTGGAAAAGGAAAAGAAGCGATATGAATTTGCTGCTCAAGAGCTTGAAAATTTAAGGGGTGAATCAAATGCTCATAAGGCATATATTTGCGAGTTAGGTCAGAGGCTTCTTGATGTCAACCAAGAGAAGCAGAATGTTGTGTCTTTGTTTGAACGTAGAGTAACACGAGATATTTCAGGAAAATCTTCAAGGTACTTGCTCAGTTATTGTTACCTATAAGTGCTTTACCTGTAAATGCCTTTCGTGCTCTAAGTCTGTGCTCTACCTTTAATGCCTTTTTGTATTTCTGTGATTTTGTTTCCAGGTTGAAGAGTTTGAGATCTCAATTGCATTCACTTAAACAAAAAGCTAAAGTACTTGTAAAAAGAAAGATTCTATACAAGCGGGGATTTGAAAGGAAATGTTCTGACCTTGAAAAAGCTGAAGCCGAGGTATGTAAATCAGATAGGTATTATGCATATTTCAACTTGATGTTTCGGCCTCGGATTGTCTTTCATGCTATGAAACTCATGGAATTGAATAGTTTCTTGCATATACTTACGGCAGAAGATGGTTTGAGATGTATTGTTGGATGATAGAATGCTATGATTGGAAGTTCTTTACAGACTTTAATAAGCGTGTAATTTTGTGGTATATTTAATGGATCATTTCTCACTGGATTTCAGGTTGATCTTTTGGGGAAGGAGGTGGACACTCTATCGAGCCTTGTTGAAAAAATATACATGGCCCTTGATCATTATTCACCAATATTGCAACATTATGCTGGAGTAAGTTGTTTTCTTCTTTTGATTGGTGATTTATCAAGCTTTCTCTACCTTACTTTTTATATTTTCGGGGTACCTGTGTGCATGGATGAAATTGTTGATTCGGTGGAAATATCGGTTGTTCGTATTTTAGAAAATCTGCGAAAACATAAAGTAAAATTTTACAGAAACAATGAAAATTAACTTGAAACATGAAAAATGTGGGGAAAAAACGCTTTTCAAAATGGGAATAGGTAGGATGTTTGGATTCGTTACTAGTTATTTGTGGATTTCGTACAAAGTTAAATATTTTTGGGATTTAGTTGGAAGGCATTCTTATCTATTAATGGTACTTGGTTGTTGGTTCACACTATTGTGCACTATCATGCGGAACACACACAAGATCTTTTTATCAATGGACTACGCGAAAAAACAAACCACACCAACGATGAAGGAAATTGAGCGCACACACACACAAAAGTAAACAAACCAACCAGGAACACAAGAAATTTATAGATTTTCGGTAACGTGCCTACGTCCTCTCCAATGATTACTTTGAGAAATTTCACTAGAAGAATAAGAACAACTTTGGTTTACAAGAAAAGCCTATTAGCTCTCTATTCTCTCAAACCCCAGCTCTCTATTTACCTCTTACCATTTTGGCTCAAACCCAATTTGATGCCCCTTGTTTTCTAGATTATACCTTTAACCTAACCCCAAAAGTCCTATTTATAGCTTATTGGACTTAGGTTACAAGTCTACTTAAGAATAGGAAACATAAACCCTATTAGATTAGGCTAGAAATCCCACACACAAAAAGGTTGGAACACGTCAACCACGTCCAAAACAAGTCAGGACATACAACGTTACCTATGGTAAGCCAAAAACACAACACACACAACCTAGTGTCGTGAATGCTTGATGTACAGACAAAATCATCCATGTATTGATTCAACTTTTGTTGTGCTTTGCAGATATCTGAGATCTTGAAGCTCATAAGAAGAAAATTACGTGGAGAAACTAAAGCAGTTTGATCTGTCTTTTGACTCGATAAGGTTTCAATTGTGTAGGGTTTATTTATAATATTAGTGCAAGAAATAGGTATATCATTAAATATCTCTTTTATCTATTAATTTGCATTGTTTTTTTAATATGTTTTGATGGCAGATGGGCTAATCCTCGAGGTGACAAGAATCGAATGCAGGGTAACCAAGGTTAAAGAAAGATGCTTCATTTACAGTCGTGGTGTGTTTAGTTTTCAGTGTGTTGTATGTGAATAAATTTAGAGTTGTAATAAGCACTGAGGGAGCCATTTATGTAATATGTTGAATTTCAATTTATTATGTAAAATATGTAGTGTAATATTTGACTCAGAAGCGTTGAGTTTTTATTGATATTGTGGCTCGGTTTCGGATTTTTCTTGTCCACTCTCTTATTGTTCTTCTCTTTTCGTCTTATTAAAATTTCTGCTGGAGTTTATGGCAAAACAGAAATAAAGCTGTTATGGAAGGACGTTCTTGTGCACAAGATGTGATCTTTAACAGAGTCCATTATTTGGCTGGTGAATATGGAAGTCTTGTGGAAGGGGAACCTAAATTAATTATAGAGAAACAAACCAAATGGTCTCCTCCTCCTCCAGTTGGTAAATATAAACTGTGGCTGGGCAGTGGGCAACTTGGCAAATTCTTGTCCTCTTCTTTCTACAACAACAAGTAATTTCTAATTCTCTCATTTTCTATATGTCTTTAATTATAGTTTTAATTTAAAATTCAATATTCTAGGGTTTACTTAGAGATTGAATTATAATTTTGTGATTTTGTTGAAATTAATTAGGGCTTTGATTTTAGGAATTTTGTTGAGATGTTTCAATGTTTGATTTGTTCTTTGTTGATATTGTTGAGATGCTATTATTATTAGAATTTGTTTGATTTTTTGTTGGTATGTTTGATTTAAATTATTTATTTTACATGTTATTCATAGGTTATCTTTGATTATGTCGGATCACAATCGGAATCCCAAGAGAACAAAAAACTTGTTCTCTTTTTTTAAGAAAAAGAATGATGGGTCATCATCTAGTACATTGCCTTCTAGCTCTTCTTTATCTATTCCAATATGTGATGAGCAAAATCTTCCCGAGTCTCCTATTATCAAGCCTCAAGTTGAAAGAATTGAATCTGAAAAAGTCGATGATTATCATGATTTTAATATCAATTATCTTGAGCGTGATCCGGGATTACGTCGTCTAATATGCACATATCCGGTGAATGAACAAGATAATATGAGAAGAGCATATATTCTTTTAGGACCATATCAACCCGAGTTAGAAGATTATCCAAGCCACTAAGAAAGGCGGGACTTTCGTCGATTTAATAAAAAATGGTTTGGTCAATTCACTTGGCTTGAGTATTCAGTTGCTAAGAATAAGGTATTTTGTTTTCCTTGTTTCATTTTTGACATGAATCAGTCACACTCAACCTTTATTGTTGATGGGTATCAAAAATGGAAGAGAATTGGTGGGAATCAATGTGCATTTCAACATGATGTAGGCAAGTTAAATTCACCATATCATCTTGCTATGCAAAAGTGGATTAGCTTAAAAACTCTATCTCTTCATATTGAAAAAGTGGTTGAGAAGCAATTAAAGTAACAAGTGATGGAAAATCGGTTGCGACTTACGTTATTATCTCTTTTAGTCCAAGAGGGGGTAACCAAGTAGCCCGTTTTCTAGCAAGGCATGCTCTTAATTGTAATACTATGGTAACTTGGCAAAATCTTGTCCTCTTCTTTCTACAACAAGAAGTAATTTCTAATTCTCTCATTTTCTATATAT